ACAATCGCAGTTGCTGCGGGCATCGTCTCGCTTCGCTGGCTCCGAAGACTACTTCGATCGCCTGGCAACTGCCTTCCACATGGTTGTGCAGTCAGACCTTAACCCTAATGTTTTGAACCCCGTCGAGGTTGCTGTGGCCTCCGCTTTCGAAGGAAACGTTAACGCCGTGCTGGGATTCCTGAGAATATGGTCATTGCCACTGGCATGTACTGTGGCAGAAGTCGCATCTCTAGGCGAATGGCTCCCCGCTCCTAATGGTCCCAACCTGTTTCCCACTGACAGTCTGGATATGGACGATCTTGCGCTACTGGGCGTGACGCAGCCAGGACCCGATGAACTAGACGGCATCAAAGACACAACTCTTGTCCTGTACGCTAGGGAATTGGCAGGCATAGAGCAACTGTCACCAGAGCGCGATGGGTGGGAAATGGCCATACAGGTGTTAGGTCGAATGGATTCGCCTGAGAGATCGGAGGAGACGGTTGGTGAGCTCCTTCGAGATCTTCTTGCTACGTTGAATGAGAACTCAGGACGAACCGTGGATAAAATTTGGACAATACTGAATGATCTCGGTATGATTAACTACGCCGAGGAAACAGCAGAGGTAAGCAATTTTGAGCATAATACTGACCTAAGCTAACTTGAAACAGACATTCGCAGAGATCCTTTCCAAGGAGTCTCATCGCTACGGCGAGGCTCTCTGGTACTACGCACTCTCCCACCGCCCAGACAAGGTCAGAGAGGTGCTGAATCTACTAATGTCATACTCGCTTGTCCAGTCCACAGTCTACCCCTCAGAGAAGGATTTAGATCAATATCTCAAGGACCTACTACGAAAGCGAACCGAGACCCTGGAGAAACGAGCTAAGCAGGACCTCGAAGCAGCTCAACTGCTTGGCCGAATGCTCAGCGGTTACGCCACACTACGCAAGTTTTACGAGCTCCGCGATGCTGAGGACTTGGAGAATATCTCGCCTACAAAGGCTATCAAATTGAAGAAGCAAGCGGCATCTGCACTAGTTGCTGTCATTTCTAGTTCCGATGACAACATCCGTGGTGGACTTTACGACGACACGCGGGATGCAGTAGTCAGCGAGGACTTCCTCCTGGCCCTCTTGGGAGAGGCAACTGTCTTTATTAATCAATCCCCAGCCGTCATCACACTGTCCCAGATCGATGTTCTGCTCAAAGCCATCGAGGATTTACAAACAGTTGGTGATCGAGTTTACTCGGCGTGCGATGATTTCTTCAATCTTGTGTTGGCATCTGCACAAGGACTGAAAGGCTCTACGCCACAAGATCTAATGGCCAAATCAACAGCTTCTCTAGGAGGAAGCTTCATGATGACTGGAAGCTCCGTGTTGGTGAATCATCTGCACAAGTCGATCTCGGCGGGAACAAAAGTTAATAGAGGATGGGACTGGAGGAAGGGCTGGCTTGCAACAAGCAAGGGCGAAGATGTTCTTCGAAAACTTCGACTAGGGTTGGCAAAGGACCTGGCGGCACTTTGGTTGGAAGACGCAGATGGTGTCGTTGCCTACTAGAAGGCATGTATTTGAACAAGAATGATTGTTGATGCTTTGATATATGAGTCTGGACTGGCGAATGGAAGGCGCCTTTGGTAATACAAGACATGAGCGAACTGCAATAAATGCCCCCATATTCTCAGGATGAGAAATCTATCCACAACGATTTATAGCTCCGACTTTTGAACACATATCCGTTCTATTCCGAGGTTATAACATATGATACGGGACCCATCTCCGCCGGTGTTCGGATGGTGGAGGCCCCCACATCCCCGGACCTCAGTTTTAAACGCCAATCGGCTCCTGTCAATTTACAATTGACAAAAAAATCCGCCCCGACTTCGCCCCCACCACAAATATAGGGAATAACATCTGTAACAAGAGGACCAAAGAGTCAACTTGCATCGTTACCGTGTATAGCCCAACATGGTTTCAATGGAGGTCGCCAGCCGCTCAGGCGGTGCCATGACGGTAAGCTACACCGATCTCATGTTAATTGGAAACTTTTCTACGGGAAAACATAGATACACAAGCTGACTCTTATGCGCCGTAATAGCAACTCTTGCGACGTTCCGGTCCTAATGTCATTCGCTCGACCACCGGTCTATCCAACAACCCAAGGAGGAACTTCTCAACCGCGAAGTCTCTTCCCCCTACCTACGAAAAGCTTTACACCAAGTACACCGACGTCCGCCGAGTTCTCGGCAAACAGCGTCTAACCCTCGCCGAGAAGATACTTTACAGCCATCTCGACAACCCCGAGGATTCCTTGCTCAACAACACCGACAATGGACGAAACATCCGCGGGAAGGCCAATTTGCGCCTTAAGCCCGACCGTGTCAACATGCAGGATGCTTCTGCTCAGATGGCTATTCTTCAGTTCATGTCCTGCAATCTCGCCAAGCCTGCTATCCCCGCAAGCATTCATTGTGACCACTTAATTGTTGGCTCCAAGGGTGCTGAGGATGACTTGTCTGCTGGTATCCAGACTAACAAGGAGGTCTTTGATTTCCTTGAGTCTGCAGCGCGCAAGTATGGAATGGACTTTTGGCCCCCTGGTGCTGGTATCATCCACCAGACCGTTCTTGAGAATTATGCTCTTCCTGGATTGATGATGCTTGGTACTGATTCCCACAGCCCCAATGCTGGTGGTCTTTCTACAATTACCATTGGCGTGGGTGGTGCGGATGCTGTTGAAGCTCTTGTCGGTGCTCCTTGGGAACTGAAGGCTCCCAAGATTCTAGGCGTGCAACTTGTCGGCAAGCTGAGCAACTGGGCTTCTCCCAAAGACGTCATTCTCCGTCTTGCTGGCCACCTCACAGTTCGCGGTGGTACTGGCTCCATCATTGAGTACTTCGGTGAAGGTGTCGAAAGCCTAAGCGCCACTGGCATGGCTACTATCTGCAACATGGGGTAAGTTTGTACTATGGCACGGGGGATCTGGTTTATACTGACTTAATCCAGCGCTGAAGTCGGTGCCACTACCTCGATATTCCCTTACACCAAGGCCTCAGCTAGATATCTTGACTCGACTCGACGATCCCAGGCGAACAAGAATATCGAGGCTCTCGAGAGCTTCGCCAGCAACATCTCCGACCCTGATGCTCGATGGCAATTCAAGGCTGACGAGGGCGCTGAATATGACGAACTCATCACCATCGATCTTTCGACTCTCGAACCTCACATCAATGGTCCTTTTACACCGGATCTGGCCACTCCCCTCTCCAAGTTCAAGGAAGTTGTGAAGGAACAGGACTGGCCCCAGGTTCTTTCCGCTGGTCTCATTGGTAGCTGCACCAACAGTTCCTACGAGGATATGACCCGAGTCGAGAGCTTGCTCAAGGACGCCAAGAAGGCTGGGCTTAAACCTGCTGCTGACTTCTACATCACTCCCGGAAGTGAGCAGATTCGTGCCACTCTGGAGCGCGATGGTACTCTCGAGACATTCCAGGAGGCCGGTGGAATTGTTCTCTCAAACGCCTGTGGTCCCTGTATCGGTCAGTGGAAGCGACAAGATGGTGTTGAGAAGGGCACAAGCAATGCTATCCTGACCTCGTACAACCGAAACTTCCGTGGCCGAAATGATGGCAATCCTGATACCATGAACTTTCTGGCGTCTCCCGAGATCGTTACCGCCATGGCCTTTGCCGGATCTACTACCTTCAACCCTGTGACCGATAGCATTAAGACCCCTGATGGCAAGGACTTCAAGTTCTCGCCTCCTCACGGTCTCGAAGGCCCCCAGACTCCTTTTGAGTCCGGCAACGCCGAGCTTGGTGTATTATCCCAGGCCCCTGATCCTAACACCAAGATCGCCATCTCTCCCACTTCTGAGCGTTTGGCCTTCCTTGAGCCCTTTGCTCCTTTCCCATCGTCTGATCTCTCAGGCCTTCGCGTCCTAGTCAAGGTCACAGGCAAATGTACTACCGATACCATCTCCGCAGCCGGCCCCTGGCTCAAGTACAAGGGTCATCTGCCTAACATCAGCACCAACACTCTCAACACTGCCATCAACAAGGAGACTGGTGAGGTCAACGCTGCCTACGACCTCGACGGATCCAAGCACACCATCCCTGAGCTTGGTCAACTCTGGAAGGACCGTGGCCAAGAGTGGCTTGTCGTTGCTGAGCACAACTATGGTGAGGGCTCAGCTCGTGAACATGCTGCCCTGCAGCCTCGCTACCTTGGTGCCCGTGTCGTCTTGACCAAATCGTTCGCCCGCATTCACGAGACCAACCTCAAGAAGCAAGGCGTTGTACCTCTGACTTTCGAGAACGAGGCTGACTATGATAAGATCGCCGCTGGCGACGAGGTTGCCACTGTTGGTCTATACGAGATGCTCCAGAATGGTGGCAAGGGCGACGTTCAACTCCGTGTCACTAAAGCCTCTGGTGAGGAGATCCTCATTCCCACCAAACACGCCGTTACCAAGGACCAGGCTGGTTTCATTCTTGCTGGCAGTGCTCTTAACCTGCTATCTAAGGGCATATAAGATGAGCCGCTCTCTTTCCTGAACATTAGTAGATAGATCTTTCAGGTCACAGAATGAGGTACTCTCGTGACACCTAAAATGCCTGAGTTATATGTTGGACAGGAGAAAATGGGCGTTTTTGGTCGGGTGAAAATGTCCGAGTGATAGATTGTTTATACCAGCAATACCTGTTGTTTTTGTTTTCTAGCCACTCACATGATTTACAATTGAATTAACATGCATTAAATATGCGTATATGTTTTCGTCAATTGGTAAGATACCTGTATTGCTTCTTGGAGAAGTAGAAACTTCGTAACTGTATAACTCCGAATTATAATTCCTTGACTCCCTGTGGCATATTTACATTCGGGATTGTTGGAACCATTTGTCACTCCGTTGTTAAGAATGAAGCTGGCCGTTTGCCTCAGATGCGCCTAGTCAAAACCCAATAAGCCCCCTTGACTCCCTTGTAATGCCCTGTCATTATATATCATGTGAATTCATCAAGCGTTCAAGCTCTGAAAGTAACTCTCTGTCTCTTTCGTTTTGTTGTTGACATGTCGCTGGCGTGCAGTCGCTTTATCCTCACATTCTCTGAACCAAGCGCAGGCTTTCAACCAAGCAGGATTACTCCGCACATATTCAGGCAGTTCCTCCTCGGGCAAGTCCCCAAAGTCAAGAATACGCTTGACACCCCGCGGCTCTGGTGGTCTGTAAGGGGGAGTAGTCCCATCCTGTTGAGCTTGTTTGATTTTCTCCTGCTGTTTCATCTCCAGAGCCTGTAACCAGCGTTGTCTCTCCACGACCTTGCCAAACCATTCTTTGCGTTTTGGACGCCGTCTGATTTCGTCGCATTTCTTTTTATACCAAGCACGGGATCGCTTATGCATGTGATGGATTGCTGGATTCACCGGAAGATAGAGTGGCTTTTGGTCGCCGAAAACTGGGTTGTACTTGACGATACGCGAAGATACAGTAACATACGGGGGTGGTTGCTGACTAGACTGTCGATATATGAGTGAATCGAATGCCTCGGAATCGAACTCGACCAAAAGCCTCTTTTTGCGAGCTTCTGCTTTGGCACGGAAGGATAGTGGGAGGGGTTTGGCCGGCTTTGGTTCCTCGTCAATGTCACTAACATCGGCCATATTCACCTCATCATCGACTTCGGCGCCTACTTCAGGTAGGGAATCTTGAAAATGACGTTTCCTGACTGGGAGCCCTTTACTTGTCAGAGGAGCCGAGCCCTTAGTGGGAGTTGATGAGAGCTTCGCCATCGAACTCGTTCGTGTTTCTGGATAATGATGCTCCGAATGTTTCTGTATATTGTCTTTCTTTGGCTTGGTTGTCCGAGGAGAAGACTTAAATTTGACACCATCTTCAGAAATAAATTGCATGTGATTCACAGGAGTGGTGGAAGGAACGCGCGGTTGAGAGCGAAGGCCTGGGGAAGGCTCGGCCTTCTTTAACCCTTCGTTTGAAGGAGCCCCCTCAGAAGTTGCTTGCGCCGTCCCAGCCAAGTGTTGGCTGTTAGTTGCATGGACAGTTTGCCCATTCTGATGCGCGTCCATCTTGAGATCCTCTGTGGGAAGCGTTTCCGATCCAATATTTGAAGAATAAGTCCGTTTTTGCCGCAAAAAAACGGGGCCGAGTAGCTCATTTATCGCCTTCTCTGTCTCGGCTTGCAACTCCATTCCCGACCGCGTCTTCGTGTTCGGTATAGTATGTGACTTTACCTGGCCAGCAGAAGGGCCCTTGTCAGCTTTCGCTACATCTTGGGTTACCTTGATCTGCGCCGAGTTGGGCGTTGGTCCAACGTGGCTGGCTCCGTTCTTCTCTTGCCGGAGATGGTGGCTCCTGTCATTTGTATCAATTGATTTATCTCGTACCAAATACCAAGGAGGGGCCTCTTGTTCGTTTGCTTTCGAAGACTGTGTTACGGGAGCGCTAGTATCCGGACTAGAGGCATCTTGAGATGGTGGATCTTGCCTAGGAAAGTGCCGCGAGGGTGTAAACATGAATTTGCCTCGACCTCTTTTAGCAACAAAAGTCCGGTTGGAGGGTCGAAAGCCCTTGGCCATATTCGTAGCAGAGGGATCTCTGTTGGCCACAGTTGGCTCTAATGCGGAATGCTCATCACAGTAATGTCTGGAGCTGAGCAAAATGATCTTTTCACAAGTGAGAACGGCACAAGTGCCGCCAACATGTGTGGAGGCAGTCATTCAGAACCTCGTTGATGGGCCCGAAACGCAGAACTGTTCCACCACGCGCAGGCTTTACGACGGGATTGAGTCATGAGGCGCGTAGATCAAGGATTACCTAGAAGCCATGTTAGCAACATGCGTATGATATATCAACGGAAGGCTAAGGGAGTATTGAATAAGAAGTCGAATCAGATCTTTTCAGTTTTGAATGGCCGTCAAGCTAGGCACCTCATCGGTTGGCACACAATCTCTTTTGACACGTGTGTTAGTTCAATAAATCAGCTGTTTGTCGCGGCCTTTGGTCAAGATCCGTGGCGTAGACGAGGAAGAAGACTCCATTGTGCGACATTGAAACTCCATTGCAATCGGCCCCAGCGCTCTACGAACAAGCTTGGAATGTAGGAGAGCAGTTAGAGCTGAGGCGCGGTATAGAATGACAGGGTTGATTCGGACAACAATGTCATGAACAGAGTCAGAAGAGAAGATGGCGCAACCAGAAGGGTTCCGTTCAGTCAGACCTTTTACCATAGGCATCATTTGACGAGTACATAGAGTAAGACCAAGAAATAGGAATCAAAATACCGTACCGAGGTCTGAGACCACCCAGAGAAAAGTTTCTGCTCCCGTATTCGTACGTTGTGCTTGTTGTGCTAATCGAAAATACTGCGCAGTCGATAATGGGTATCAGGTGGAGGTAAAAGGACAGTGTTATACTGCAATAGAAAGAAGCAAAAGGAGCTAGGTCGCGTCCGAGACAGGTCCCCGCAGCTGCCCTGTATCGAAAGAGTAAGAATATGTGCGTTCTGTTGATCTTGTATATGGGTTGACGAGCCAGCCGACATCAGGTAAAGGATAGAGAACAGTGAAAGAATGAAAGAGATCCCAGTCGCCAGAGGCAGAGAGGCGTATGACTGTGGTCGTTGGTTTCGCGCCTTTCATTGCGGGCTGGTCCTGTTACTGCTGGCTCGCTATTGGCCCAAACACCTATGATGATGAAGGATGGGGGTGCAGAGGCGCCGGGAAGACCAGGTTCCCGAGGTGAGTCGCCTCCAGCTGGAAGACTAATTCTTCCGCCCCGGCTGCCATGCCTACCAGTGGAGCCCCACAAGCTAACTTACACACATGAGAGCGTCCAAGAAAAGGAGGAAAATACCAGTTGATTCAAGAGATAAGGTAGACAATTAATGAACTAACTTATGCTTGTATTCATAAAAGCTTACTGAGACCCAAGACTTACTTTAGGTAACCTATATTCTGTCGTTGATGAGCATAAACTCACTGTAAAGATAAAATATCCTATTCTAAGTCCAGACCAGCCACATTCCATGATGCAAACAAGACGCCTTCAAAATTCATCTATCCTAAGTTCAGTATTAATCGTCTTCAGCTTTCTGATAAAACCAGTCACTTTCATTTTAGAGACAGAGAAATGTTCCGCTCAAATGTGTACCTGATCTGTATTCATAGTCTTTTCAGTTCTGGACTACCTGAGCTAATTCCCTTTACTGCCCAATTAGTGGTGGTATAATTAGAGACCTCAACCACAGATTTCACAGAGTTATATATCTATATATCATAGCCTATCCAAACTCCTAACTTTAGTGCCTTGGTAGTATGGTCTGGGCTCTTACATGGTCAGCTGGATTAGGTAACCTTGGACACCCCTCCATTCCCTGTCTTGCCTATCCAGCGTTAAACTTATCAGGCACTAGCGCGGGGGTTGAGCTCCCTGACGTACAGCGCCAATAACCACGTTGCGCCTCTTGAACCAATATATTATTCGTCTACAAACAGCAATATTTTCGACTTGTACATATGTCGATTCTCAACAAAAATCGGGGGCTAACTGCTTGAGTCCTAATAGAAGTTCTAGATTCGCCTCATTGGAATGAACTTTCTCAAATCTGCCGTGGCCTCGGCCATTGCACAAGGCCCTCCCTTTCCATACAACTTTGGCGACAAGGTTGATATCGATGAGTCTATCTGGACACTGTACAATGGTACTAAGAGGGTAAGCTCAACATCACATATCGCACAATGTGCACTTACTGACACTTTCTGAACAGGAAGATGGTTCAAGCTGCAGCATCTTTTCCTTCGATATTACCACCAACCGATCCCAACTCCCCCTAGCCAAGAATGCCCTAAAGAAGCTCCGAACACTACGGCACCCAGGCGTGATCAAACTTCTAGATGCAGTCGAGGTATATGCAAGACTTCCGGTCGGTCTAAGAGCAGTCCGCTGATAATATCTGACAGACAGAAACGTATATCTACATTGCGACCGAGCGAGTAGTACCCCTACGATGGCACGTTCGAAGAAAGAGCCTCAGCCCCGAGACGATAAAATGGGGCTTACATAGCGTTGCGGTACGGCTTGTTATACCAGTCTTCTAATCGGATATTAATGATGTTGCAGCGGACGATAAAATTCATCAACGAAGACGCTTCCTCGATTCACGGCAGCATAAAAGTTGGATCGATCTATACTTCAGAGAGCGGCGAGTGGAAGCTCGGTGGCTTTGATGTTCTCAGCAGCCTCAAAGACGATGAGTCTATAATATATGCAAGAGGTCCCCAGATATGTACCCATATACTCAGGCTAACAGATACATAGACATACGGTAGCTTGGTACCTGATGCGGGTCGATATTCTCCTCCAGAGTTGGCGCGAGGTGGGTGGGATGTCATCAAGAAGAATCCCCATACAGCAGTAGACGCATTTAATCTTGGAACATTGATCTTTGAAGTTTTCAACGGCGATTACAATGGAGCTGATCAGGCTGGCCAAACGAAGAGCATCCCGCCTTCAATGCAGTCCAGTTATAAGCGCCTGTGTAACGCCAACCCAAAAGCTCGAATCAGTGTGGGAGCTTTCCTTGATCAAGGCAACCGAAATGGCTCTTTCTTTGACAGTTCTCTCATCAAACTGACCGAGGGTATCGACAACCTGGACATCAAAACACCAGATGAACGAGAAGAGTTCCTTGCGTCAGTCTTTAACTCCCCCCATACATCCATATTGCTAACAATTCGAATAGTGGACTGGATGAGCTGAGCGATGACTTTCCAGAAGAGTTCTTCAAGCTAAAGGTGATGCCCGAGCTAATGAAGTCGGCTGAATTCGGTGGTGGTGGCCCCAGGGCCGTATCCGTAGTTCTTAAAATCGCATCTAAACTTCCCAAGGACGACTTCGATTCAAAGATTACACCCTTCATCATTCGCCTGTTTGGAAATCCCGATCGGGCTATCCGGGTGTGCTTATTGGATAGCCTTCCTTTGATGATTGATCAGCTATCACAGAAGACCGTCAATGATAAGATCTTTCCGCAATTGGTACAGTCTTTATTACTCTACTTTAAAGGCAAGACTAACATATATAGATCACCGGCTTCACGGATGTAACACCAGTAGTACGAGAACAGACGCTAAAGTCTGTTCTGGTCATCATCACTAAGCTCTCGGACCGCACAATCAACGGTGACCTCCTCAAACAACTTGCAAGAACCGCAAATGACGAGCAACCGGGTATTCGAACAAACACGACTATCTGCTTGGGAAAGATTGCAAAGCACTTGGGTACTTCGTCCCGTTCAAAGGTTCTGATTGCCGCCTTCACAAGGTCACTCAGAGATCCATTTGTTCATGCCCGAAATGCTTCCTTGATGGCTTTGGGCGCCACTGCGGAGTACTTCACCGATGAGGATAGCGCATGTAGGATCCTGCCCGTTATCTCTCCTGTCTTGATTGATAAGGAGAAGATTGTTCGTGATTCTGCTGCCCGTACTCTGGAGATATATCTCCAAAAGATCAAGAAGGCAGCTTCTGCAATGCCTGAAAGTGTTTTGCCTCCTCCTCAGACTACTGATGGCTCAGCTCCACGGATGAGCACTCCACAGCCAAACGAAAACACCACAGGTGGCTGGGCAGGCTGGGCAATCTCTTCTTTTACAAACAAAATCTCTGCGGCTGCGGGCGAAATTCACGCGGATTCAGACTCCCGTGCTGCTTCACCTGGGCCCGCCGCCTCACCTAACTCCGAGCAAAAGAAGCCGGCAACGAGCACCGCCTCATCACTTCACCGCCAAGCAGTCAAATCTCCCCCAGCAAATCTCTCACGAAACTCTTCACATACGGCAAGCGTGGTAGCCGACTCATTCTTACCTGCCGATGATGGTGACGATGCTGGAGACTCGTGGGGAGATATGAATGATGACTTCGACAGCTTCGACTCTCCCGGCCAATCTTCCAAGCAGCCTGCGACAGCGACGGCATCTGCTGCCCCTTTTGATGATGGTGAGCCTGATTTTGCTGGTTGGTTGGCTGCTCAATCACAGAAAAAGCCCTCCAAGGCCTTACCAAAGGGTCTGTCAAAATCAACAACGGCTAAGAAGCCTGCGGCTAAATCGGCTGCGAAACCAAATGCTGCGAAGAAAATTGATATGAAGCCGAAGGAGACAGATGACGATGATGGTTGGGGCGATGGCTGGTAACAGTAGACTCAAAAGTCAGAAAGCTTTAAAGAGTCGGCACCTTTCATGCAATATCACTTTGTCATAACCGCCTTCACTGTTGGGAAACATCAGGATACCATTCTCGAGCATACACTAGCATGTCAATTGTTGATTGAAGCTATTCATAACATATTGGTTGGACACATATAGACAGCATTATCCGCTAATGCTTATAATACCAGTCATAAGTGTTCAAAACTGAAAAATAGATTTTAAACAAGTAATCCATATTTTATCAGTGAAGGTCAATCGATATCTGTAGTTCATAATAGCTCACCTACCGAATGCTCACCTCGGTGAACACAAAGCCCCACTAAACTCACTCACCTTGATTTTTATTTTTCCCCACCACACCCCATCAGCCTTCAACTCTCTTTTTCTCCAACCATCCTGCGCAACCACCAGATTCACTCCCAACATATCTCAAAATGGCTCAAGGCACAGTTAAGAAGCTCGGGCGAGCAACCCCCGCCAAGATCACACACTCAAAGCGCCAAGCATCGA